AGGGAGGAAAAAACTACTGATAAGAGTTTGAGGTGCAGCATCTGAAAGCTGCGTACATGTGAGGTGAAACCAAAGTGAGAGGAGAAAAACTCATTCTACAGTCGTGAGTTAACCTGGAGGACACACTTCAGGTGGTCAATGTGTCATTAAGTGGTTATCGGAAAGGCTGATGCTTCTGCAGAGAGAGCAGGAGCAGAGCCTCTTCTTTCAAAACAAGACTGATTCCAAGCAATTCTCCAACCTTAGAGTCAAAGTGTAACTGTATTTATGCTCCTGGAAATCAGAGAGACAAAGAGACATCAATCGTATTTTGAGAAGGGCCAAACAAATTACTTGATGTAATTTGCATATTTTTCATATGCAAATTGATTTAATTTTTTTTGCTCTTTATTGCCCTAAAGCACCTTTTTTTTTCCTCCCTGCAGTTATTCAACACACAATGCAACCTAGACTTTTCTGCAGAGAAGGGAGCCCAGGAGAATCTCCATTTTGTGTCGTTTCTTTGTAACTCTGTCCTTAGGGTAGGCAGAGAGGTAATCACTTGTTTGCGTATTGAGTGGTTCCTGGACTAGCTTTGATCCGGGACCTGAATACACAAGCACACATACAGTATATGGAGTGAGCCGGTGAGGCAGCATGATCAATTGAGGAAGAATTGAGCAATTAATCCAAAGGATATCCACTGGGAGGTCTGCATGAATAACAACGCTCCCCGAGTAAGTAAGGGTAAACTCACTGCTAACATTTACATCCACTAAGGTCACCTACTACTTTTTACACACATTTAATCACTGATACAGTTCAAAGCCAGGGTTTGTGCCAAGAAAAACCCTGAAAGAAAGAGAGTGAGAAAGAGAAAGAGAGTGACACAAATGCTGGTTCACTCTCTTTCTTTCCCTCTATCCTCCTTGCTGGAGCCGTTTTCACACATGAACAGCAGATGTTCAGGCTGAGCTGCATGTGTGAACGCAAACAGATGAATTCTTCACCACTACTTTTGCAAGACGTCAGGGTGAGTCAATGTATGAACACGCAGGTATATTCAGGAAAATTCAACACGCGGAGGTTGATGATAGTCACATCCTCAACTGGTGCATGACCGGAGAGATCTTTGTGTAACGTCATAAAGCTGCTTCATACTCTTCTGCGATGCCAGCTCGTTCTTTCCCACCTTTTCCTTGCCACTGTTGCCACGTTCTTGCTCACGGTGGATACACGTTTGGTCTCTGTAAATAACATGACAAGAGAGAACGGTCTAGACCTGCTCTTTATGTAAAGTGTGATTATGTAAAGTTGTGCTTTGATCATTTAATCATCGAACATGCAGCTGATCAAAAACTTTTTCAAGATGTTCACTTAGGTCACTGCTTTGCTAACTTTGCCAAAAGGCAATATATCCCTTCTTATAAAAATCTAGAAGCAACATCAAGCTGAATTAAATCAATCTTTTTCTTGGTTTGGCCGTTTAAATGAGTAGACAGTTTTCATCCAGTGGATTGATTTGCTGTGCCCAGTAGATTTGCTCAGTGGTGAATGCCTGGGGCGGCCTGCAGAGTGAAAACCCCTTTCTGCCCTCCAATTGCTAACAGATGAATTATCCTGGCAGTTAGCACTACGTTCTGCCCCTTACAGCTTTATACTTAATACATCTCTATTAGACCAGTAAGACTTCTCAGAGCACCGTATTGTGTGTGTGTGTGCGTATGTTGGTCTTGCCTTTTCCTCTTTGTCGTGACTGCTGTACCTCGCCCTAAATAGCACAGCAAAAACACTTCACCCTCACTCCCCCGCCCCCTCCACCCATCCACCCCTGCATCCATCAAGATGCCAATCTTCATCCAGGAAGCCATTGAGCCTTTCATTCCTACCCAATTACCTGTATTAGGCTCATTGCCATAGACTCCAGTTAACAGAGCGGCCGACATGATTAACCCTCTCTCTTCAACAGGCTGAAGCTAAAGCAGATGGATGATGGCTCTCAGGAGTCCATAAAGTGAAGACAATATTGAACATTAACTCCTTTGACACATTTCTAGAGGCTATTTAACAATTTATGTAATGGTCCTTTACTCCTTTTGTTATTCTGACAGTGGTTAGAGCACGGCTTTTATGCCATTTAGTTTCTGCACTACACATAATAAAAGCTTCTGAGGAACTTTTTTTTTTTTTTTTTTTTAAATATGAACATCCATTTAAATTGTTTTCATTTATAAAAACCCCAAAAGAAAAGGTCTACACACACGTATTCTTACCAAAACACCTTTGTATAAACTCTCCAGTAAGTGTGTTATCATGATTTTAGTTTATGTGCAAATGTCATTTTAACAACCTCAGAGCAGACAGAAACTTGCACCCTCCCTGAGATCCCCCTATGGGGGGCCCGAACCCCAGGTTGGGAAACATGCTTTACACGGAATAAGGTAAGTATGAATGCTGCAAAGTGCAGTCACTAAGTTGCGAGCTGTCACTTGACAACTGAGGGCATTAAAATGTCATGAAAGAATATGTTAATAACAACAGAGTCCCTGGATAAAGTAAATTCAAATGAATGGCAACAGTTTTGTTTTAGTCGCCTCAAAGAGCATGACACAGGAGAGTGCAGTGAGAAGAAATTTTAGGACATCCCACTGTGTGTGTGTGTGTGTGTGTGTGTATGGTTTTGTGTTTGTGTGTGTGTGTGTGTATGGTTTTGTGTTTGTGTGTGTGTGTGTGTTTTAGTGCAGTAGATTGTACAAACTGTCCTACATTATCACTCACTTGTGCCTGTGAAGCGGCTCTTTATAAGTGGGATCAGTGAAAGGTTAATTGGTCTGCTGTCACTTCTCTGAGCTCTCGTGTGTACTTCATGTGCCGTGGTCAGATCAAAATCTGTTCACGTTCTTACTACAAAACTACACCTTATCAAGCTTTGTAACTTTAAGATAAAGCCATTTGATATGTAAGTAATCTGAGAGTCAGGCGTAGAAATCAGTTTTGAAATCAAATTCTGCCTTGACTTTTTAGATCAGACTTAAGACAGAACAATTTATATACAATCCGGTTTATAAACAGATTCTGGATTAGCCTTTAGTTCTGCACTGATCATATGATGTTTACATGAACAGTGGAGGCCATATTTTCCATTTAATTTTGTCTCTGCACATTCAATATATCACAGAAAGATTTACACAATATGCATAGTACATAAACTCCTCAAAAAAAGTTTGGAAACGTTATTTCGGTCACTTATTTCGCCCCTTTAATAATACCAATTGATGTTGTATTTTATATCGTTGGAAAGCCTGATTAGTCACCTTTACAACGAGGTAGAACCTGTAAGGATCGTGCATTCGTGGAATGGGCAACACAGCTAAATGTGTGAGTAGAGCTCTACAAAAAATGTGACAAAATCCCCTGCAATGTTCTTCTGTTGGTATTCACTCGTTTTGAGTGCTGCCAGGTGTGTGCCAGTTACAGGTTTATGACTGGCACTGATTGGCACCTAATTGACAGCACTTGTGGGATCATCTTGGGCATGCTGTTCATGCCAGAGTGACCAACACACTGGTTGACCTTCAACTCCTGGTTGAGGAATGGGATGCCATCCTATTCCGAAATGTGTCCAAGCTGGTGAAGCATGAGGAGGAGGGGCCAAGCTGTTGTGGCTGTGTATGGATCTTCCGCACGCTACTGAGGTCCCTGACAGTGTAAAATGAATAAGGTGTAAAAAAAAAACGTATTAGTGTGGGAGAGTGCAATCATCCATTCCACCAAGCAACTCAAAACAGGAGTGAATACCAACAGAAGAACATTTTTTGGGGCGCTACACGTTTAGCTGTGTTGCACATTCCACGAATGCACGATCCTTACAGGTTATACCTTGTTATAAATCAAAATCATCCTGAGACCTAATGATATCCTCTTTATCCCCCATAAATTGTGCATCCAATGTGGTTCTGGTGGCCAGAGAGAGAATTTTAATCAAGCAAATTAGGTCCTGTTCTGATTTGAGCCCTGGCCCTCACTTATCAACGTACGGCAGAAAACTTGGTGTGTAAGGCAAGTCAAGTTTATTTCACACAACATCAAAAGCATCATGACAGAGGGAGAAAAAAAAGAAATATTAAAATAGAACATTTAAAAATCCCTAAAACAAACAATTCAAAATCACAGAGAAGAGCCATTCGGACATTCCTTGGCTTTTTTTTTTTTTACTACCTCCTGATATTCCAGATTTTTGGGTATACATTCATTTCCACTCAAAGCTCGTCACTTAACAATCTGGACGTGAGCAAAGGGTTATACTCAAATCCTACACCAGGTCTCAGCTTGTGTACACATGTTTGAAAGTCAGTGTGGACTTGCGGTGCAGCATAAACCTGGATGTGTCAGGGAATAATAGTGCAGTGCTTGTTCAGAGGACCAGAAAGACGCTCAGATTTATAGTTTCTTAGATAAGATATGGCATCTTAAATGTGTTTTCCGTTACACTCCATCTCTACCAATCCCTATAAGCTATATTGTTTTGTCAGTAATGTTGAGCAGCGTGAGTCTTCAGGTGATTTCTTTTGTGTCAGTGAGTTCAATTTGATGAATGAGTGTTTTCTTCATCGATTTACTTTGTAGATTAGAGAGGCTGCTTTCAGTAATCATAAACCTCCCCATGCGCACAGGAGTATCACGGCAGCAAATACTGAGAAAAATGTAAGCAGAAAAAGTAAAAACTGTAGTCACTTTAAAAAGGACAGAAACATCTCCAGAGGAAAACCGAAGTAAACTTTTAGCTTCTGAAAGCGTGATTGAGCTCAGGAACTATCACTGACAGCTGACCATTAAGAACGCAGAAAATGAACAATAGATCATAACTAACTCAACATGTTGAGATTTAAATAATCAATGTAAAACACGACTTTTCCACATGTGTAATGTGCACAGCAGATTCACTTAGGCCGGGCTACATGCGTTCTATTCTTATGTTTGGCAAGTAGGCTATTCAAATGACAAAAAGACATTACACAACGTTTGGTCAAATACTTTATTCATTTTAGGCTGGACGTTTTAGGTTTTCATTCATCACTTTTAAAGTCTCATTAATGTCCAGGAGAGAGCAGTTTGTCTCTGTCTCTCCAGGACCTCTACAGTAAGGACCCAGGGTCGTGGTGGTTGGCTAGCACAGGGAGACGGAAGTTGAGCAGCCACCGCTCTGTGGGGCCGGGTCCTGACAAGTTTGTGCAGACGACGGCTGAAGTCCCCTGGTCTTGGTGGAGAATCATCTGGAACATATCTAAAATGATATAGATAAACTCAGCAAATCTGTAAGTATTTATTTGTTCTGTATGAAAAAGAGCTACAAAACTCTCCAAGCTATTAAATATTTACCATTATCCGTCTCGGACACAGGTGCAGGCTGCGCCACTAATGCCTGAAATTGAGACTGAACTGATCAGTGCAGCCGCTCGCTTTCGGTCAGGCACAATTTCAAGCTGGTCTCCTCCAGCTCGGCCGATGTTTCTTTTAATAACTGAAACACGCTTTTGTTGCAATCTTAACCACTTTTTTTTTTTTTTTTACATAAATGTGGAGAATCATGATGTAAATGAAATATCCAAGCTGTTGGCTGAAGCAGAGATTACCTTCCAAAAGTGTTTTTTTCTTACACCTTTCAATCAAGGGCACCATTTCATTCCCCTCTACTTCTCTACTTGTTATGGTATCACTCTCCAAGTCTTAAACTCTGGAGGGGGGAGTCCTGCTGAACCATGAAGGGGCGGGCATTTAAATGAAGACTGGTTTCAGCCACCACACTTATCAACGCCCGGTCATTGTTACGCTGTGATCGGCACGGATACGCACGTTTCATAGATGCCACGTTGACCCTGTGTTGAGATGAAAATTTGATTTGATTGTTTACCATCACCTCTTGTTTTAACACTGGGATGTGCCATATATAGGTTTAAAAGTTACTCTCTTGAATGCATGATTTATAAATGCATTTCAATTGGTCAGTTTTTCAGAAAACAGGAGACACTTGTTTTATATGAATTGAGTTTTCATGAGAACATTTTCTGTTCACCTTTTTTAGAGATTGTATTCAGTGGGGTATTTGCTGTTTTACCTTTTTTACATGAGTTCAAAGTGGAAAAAGCATACTGACAAGACCTCAGTCTGTCAGCTCTCTTTGTTTCGTGATGGTCACGCTCATGTACAAATAATTGAATTATAAAATAATAGTGGAGTGGGGGCGCCGGTAGCTTAGTGGTTAGTGCTCAGGCCCCATATACGCAGGCTTTAGTCCGGCTCAGGTTCCAATCCAGCCTGTGGCTCCTTACCCGCATGTCATTCCCCACTCGCTCTCTCTCCCTCCCTGATTTCTCTATGCACTGTCCTATCTCTAAATAAAAAGGCACAAAAAAGCCCCCAAATAGATAATAATGATGATAATAAAGCAGTGAAATCCATCAGTATTCAGAGCATTTGTTGACATCTGCAAGAGCTCCGTACCCGATGCGTCTTCATCTCTGCACAGCATATTTTACTGACACCATCTTCTGAGACGGTTTGAGTTTTACCTGAGGCGAGCCGAGAGGCATTGCCTCTTTTGCTCCCTGGAAAAAGTTAGCATTAATTTAGTATTTGATGATATACATGTTTAATCATTTTACATCCTAATACTGTAGAGCAACTTTATCTGGTTCCATGTTGATGAGATGTGTAAAGATTGAGTGTTCTCGGATCAGTTTACAGAACTTGCACGCCAGGTTCAAGACCCTGCTGAGTGGTTTGGCTATTAGCTTCCTAACAAATCATAAAATGCTTCAAGGCGAAGATTAAAATACAGGAATTCTCTATCATCACTTCAAGCCAGGGGGGGCACCCTGCGCTGTACTCCGTATCATCAGTGCCATCATTCATCTGTGTGCTCTGAATTCAGCAATTGATTTTTATCAGAGAATGAATCTTAAATGGATTCGGGGTAAAGCCAGAGAGCGGCACAAGAAGAGGCTGGCAAAGAAGTTAATACTGACAAAGGTAGGAGGAGGTGGAGGAGGAGGAAAAAGAAGGAAGGAGAAGAGATGAGAGAGGAAAGATTGCTATTGGAGGAGATGCACTAAATCACCTGGTTGATAAAAACAATTCAAGGCTTTCATTTATCTGCCGGTGCATAGATGGCTCTCAGCTTTCTGAAAGAAAACACTATCTAAAAAGGGGAAAGGAAAGAGGGATGGAGGTTATTCTTTATCAACAAGCTCATTTTATTTATGGCTTCTTTTCTGTCTCCTTACACTGGCTCTGAAGGCAATGCATACTGTATGCAGTCTGATTTATTCAGGCACATTTGATATCTATGGCTCGTGTTACTCTGCAGTCTGAATGTCTCCATCGGCCCCTGGTTTGTTTGGCACATGCTCTCTTAGTGAAAGCGTTGCCTCAACTACACAGGTTGTCTGCTCTACTGTAAAGAGTAATTGGTATTTACAACCATTTGTGTGTGTTTTTTTTCTGCTTGGTCTGGTGGCTCATGTAGCTATAAAACATGTTATGCAGCAGGGTAATAAAAATTAGCACAGTTCATCTCCTACACTACACACAGTGACCAGGGAATAGATTGGGTGAACATATTCCACTGTTTTCCTTGGGTTTTTTTTTTCACACTATGAATAATTCCCACATGCACAGGTTATTATTATGGTTCATGATGTCCAAAGATGGGAACAGTGTTTAGCATTGGAGACAGAACAATACTCTGTATAAATAAAACATAAGCTTACTCCTATTGGACTTGGAAATGACATGAAGATACACTGTTTTTATTTTCAATGCGTAACTCTGGGAATGACTCATGCTGATTAACACCATTTGTATAAAGGAGCAATACTAGTAAAAATATGAATGTGACTGCGGGTGGAATCAAAGGATATGATACAATACCCAATGCATGGCCCATGATAAGGATAATATCCAGACACAGCGATGGAGCAATCATTAATATATTGCAAGACAATCATGAAATGATACATCACATTATCTGATTAACTGGAGCATATTAAATGCCCCTATAGGAGGTAAAGATGTTGGATTAATTGATTTATTCACTCCATTTGGTGTCAATTTAAATTCATGCTTCATACACTGTTGGACTTCATCCCTTGTATTCTTCCTCTTCTTCCTTTATCTCACTGTCATCATCATCTTCGCTCAATTCACTTCTGCTCACGTTACCCTCATGCACCACCAAGCGCCATTGTGAAAAGTCTCTAAGTGATGACGTGGTGAGTCGAATTGGCAGGGAAATCTCTTGAGAGCTGAATTTTGTTTCCACTAAAACATTTATGTTTGGTAGCAGCGATTCGATAATTTAATTACACACGCCAGAATGACAATATAGTGCCGTATTGATATTTTGTACCAGCCCTAATTTAATACCTTTTTTCCTGAAAGCAGCAGCAAATCATTAAGCCCTGTAATGGTCTTGTTCTTGACTTCATTATCCATGAATCATCATTATACCTCAGTTTCATGAACAATTACAGTAAAATACTGAGTGTATGCAGTGCTACAACAATGTGGTTCATTTAAACCTTCCTCCAAATTATTTATCTACAGCTGGGAGGAAACCAAACACCTTCTTGCTTCTGCCAGGTATCTGCTGCTGCTGTCATATGCAAATTGCATTTCTATTCTTAGACAATCATACGGGCGTGAAGCCACAAATGTTTTTTCCCCCCTTATTTACGTATCCAAAGTCATTCTGTCTGGTATTTCTCTTCATATTTGCATCACCCCTTTGGCGGTACAATTTTAATAAACATGTTTATCTTCATTCTGATGTGACATAGCATGCTGTGAAAAAGAGCTATTCTTCTCTAGAGGTTGCAGATGGAGTCCAATTTCACAGCATTAAAGCAAAACTGCAGGTTTTTTAAAGAAAGAATACACACAAAGGATACAATATCTTCTTGTTTCCGTTTTATCTCAGCAGCTAAAGTGAGACGTGAGAAGAGATTAAGGGCAAGGAAAACCAGCGGGAAAGGTGATAAAAGAAGTTGCTGTGGTGTGTTGAAGTGTCATAGTGGAGGTGAGGGAGATGAATCAATTCGATTCAAAGAGCCCCCCTCGAGTACGCTGGCAGGCAGGAGAAGAGATGTCTGGAAGGAACAAGACCTACGGTATAGTCTTGCTCTGCTTCAGGCATGTCCCTGTGAAGTATTGCTCTACATGCAGATTGAAATAGGAGGAAATACTACGGAATGGCTGCAAACCTACGAGAAAGGAGAAATAATTTGCAGAAGTAGAAGCAAACTAGAGCCCGATAAAATCAGCCGATGTTAGCATATCGTGTGACTATTGGTATCCCACAAGTGTTTGAAAACTGCATTTGAGGGATCAATGCAATAAATGTGTGTGTGTATCTGTATCTTATTTTCTCAAAAGATCAAAGACGGATCTAAGGAAGGGATCGGCTGCATTGGTATCTGAAGTAAACAATGCATATTGTCTTATATTTTGCTTATCATATCAGTAAATGTCAAGGTCACTGTGCTGTAAGATAGAGCGATAAAGCAGAGCCCACTTGTTATGTTGTGGATCTAAACACAATAAAGCAGCTGTGAAGAGAGTATTAGTGTCTGGATTGTCTGGTAATAGGAAAGTGAGAATGAAACACACTGCATGTGATGTCCACCAATCAAATCTTGGTAAACTGTGACACTGACTGGGCGGCAGATTCATCCCCCCCCATGAATCCTCCACACCGACCTTCCCAAAGAGATTCCACACACTGCTCTTCGTGCATCAGCCCCACATCTGCACTGCAAAACACCTCATGCAAGATTAATCACACTCTCAAAGCAGTCAACAGGCTGTGAAATGAGAACGGTGAGCCGGTGGTAATGTTTCCTTACGCCAGGTGTAGAGAAATAAATATCAAGTTTGCCTTCCCATTCCGCCTGTGTGTGTGTGTGTGTGTGTGTGTGTGTGTGTGGTGTGTGTGTGTGGTTCCCAAACAGAACCTGGCAAGCACATGGGGACTAGATTTATAACACAAATTTTCCCCGGTGTAGTTTCTGCATTAAAACGTTGTCATTGTGAGTGCCTGTCTGCTAATTTAATTACATGTTTCAAATATGCAGAAGATAGCGCCATTCTTTTTATAAATAAATAAGCAGGCAGATAAGCAGTGGCTAAAAAACAATTAACATTGTTTGCACTGGGCCTGTCAAATCTGTGATAAGAGGACTGTTATCATCAGCTTTATTGGAACAACGACTGCACTGTTTATGAAGCAGTAAAATGCTAATTTCAAAGAAAAATGATCTCGGTTTATTAAGAGGAATAATGAAGAGCTCTTGTTCCCCCTTACGCTGAGATATTTAAAAATGGAAATGGTCACAATTTTTTCAGACTTTGAAAAATGTAAAACTTAATTCATCTATAATTCTCTCATCTTAATAAATGTCCCCCCCATTGCTTTTACCAGTGTCTGGTTGTAAAGGGGTACTACTGCCAGTCGGTGGCTGTGGCACATCTGAAAGCTGTTTGCTAACGCCAATTTAATAAAAGAAGAAGAAAGCATTACTGCAAGATGCCAGTAAAACGGGTGTGGTGCTTCCAGATTTAGAGCAAAGAGCAAAGAAAAAAGTATGGAGACTTCTGCAGTGGTCAAAAAATTATGCATGGAACTCCATTTAAAAAAATAATAATGATGAAACCTAATATAATGGTAGGAAGATGTTAGTTTTATTTTACCAGTACTTTTCAACACCAGTGACAATATAAATATATACACATTTATATGGAGAGAATTAACACATTTATACTGATTGCTGACATGTTGCTAGCTGACTTTACACTTGATGCTAGCAGAGGCACCACACTGTATTTGTTTGGTATTTTCACAATCATTTAAATGAAAAGGTTGATGGGGGGGACTTATGAGTTATGCAAAAGGATCATTGCAATATTTGGTGAGCTACTTAAGTCACATTTAGTTAGTACTTGAGGCTCAATCTGAGATTGTTAGCAGCCGCCAGTGGGGTCTGTTAAATTCTGTGAGGGATCCCAACAAGTGCTCAAGCAGTGGCTTTTCCCTGGGAAATGATATGTTACAAAATGCACTTCAAAGAGTTGTGGACAAAGTGTTAATTTTCAAGAGATCAGGGAATTGTGCAAATCATTACATGTTGTCAGAGCTCTTTATTCCATTAGCCCTGTTCGTTTTGTTGATTTGATATCCTGCAGCTGTCTCACATCCTGCTCATCCTTCATTCACTTTTCCAGTCCCGTGATAATGCTGACCTCCCCTGATCCTGTTCAATCTAATTTGTCTGCTCTTTTCATTTAATATTTTGTCATCCCCTACCCTCCTCTACTCCTGCAAGACCTCACACCTACGTGCGGGGTGTAAAGTGAGTCAGAGAATAACTCAAATGCTACTCCATTAAATCCCTTAACATTATCTTCATCGTCCCCCCCATTTCTGTGCACTGCTCTTAAAACTGCCTCTGTGTCCTCTCCACTCTTCAGGTCTGAGCACATGGCCTGGACGCTCCCCTGCTGGGCTGTAATTGGTGATCAAGATGTGCGCGGGAAGGAGACGGAGTGGCGTTTGGCCCATTTCTATTCCCTCATAACATTCACAGGGCCACAGTCACATCTGCGTTACCATGGTGATGCTGATAAGGTGGCTCATGACTATTCATCGATGGCGCTGCCTGATTGGACAGCCCCGAGAGCCCCTGTGAAACGTATTCATCAGCGCTGCCGCCTGTGTCCCTGCTCTACCTCAGTCCGCCCATTAGGATAAAAAGGGAGCATCTCTGCTGCTTCCAACTCAAGTCATTACCTCACCCTTCGCCTCTCCGCTCCTCACCTGTCCTCGCTTAACGTGCAACCCTTTTCTGTCCTCTTTGCCCCTCTGCTTTTCCCTATTGTTGAGTCTTCTGACTTTTTTTCCCTACACCAACAAAACAAAAGAAAATCTGTTTTTTAATTAATGTGCACTTATGTAATATAAGAGAAGCTGAGAAATTTAAATATTCAATCAGGTTTTATTCCATGTTTAAACATTGCTGACAGGTTTTTTTTAATAACTTTATTCATGCAGCTCTTTTTTAATATCATGCTTGTGGGAATACATTGTATTTGTTTTTAATGTTACGTTATGCATCGGTTGCAGCTGCTTATCCTGCAGGCAATCAAGTCTTTGAATTTTGTTTCCCAAAGGAAATGCAGACAGTTCATCAGACTTGGCATCGCTTTAGATTTTTATTGTGTTATAATTAGTTTACAGCGCAGCTAAGTACATTTGAACTTAAATACAGATAGTGATATGATTTCTATAAAAACACAGAGACAAAGCTGGTGTATCAGGGAAAATCAGCAGAGGATTGAAAGCTCACGATGACAGTTCTGTCTCAGCATTCACTATGAATCATAAGAAATGTGGACCACGCAGCAAACCTACAGCAGGACTGGAAAGTGATTTATTTTTTCTTTTAAATCTGTCGTTTATATTTTCCCACAAGAGTCAGAGAAAATTCTCCTTCTGCATACTGAATGTATTTCGTCTTTGTTGTCAGCCAATTTAAAAGACCTACACAGTCACCCCAGGGTTGAACTATAACTCAAGGTCAACAGGCGTAGAGTATGATTGAATATCTTATTCATGCACGGAAGGATCAGCCTGACAGTGTCTGCTGCTGCTCTATCTGAGCTCCATCTCTGGTTGAACACAGCAGCTCTGACCTCTCTTGTTGGTTGCAAGGATTTCCAGGAACCTGCCCATTAAATCTAGATGGATAGTGGTGGCTGACTGACAGCTTGCACACAACTCTGACATCATGTGAGAGCACAGATACCGCGAGTGAGGTGTTTATGGTAGAGTAGCTGTTGTGGGGGATGGGCATTGAGAGAAATATGCAACAAATTAAATAGAATAGAGTTTGTATAAAACAGCACAGGGACCCTATTGTTTTGTTTTATTTATCACCACAGAATGATCCTGTTGTAAAAAGAAAAACAAGCTTTGTTACCTTGAGAAAAGGGATACATTTATCCTTTAAAACTCTGCAGACTTCTCCTGGGATTACTCCAATATACTTTTACCTGATGAGCTGAAACTTTGCCCACATTTAATATGGCCATCCAGCATTGTATAGGCAGAATAGGTCAACTTCAATAACCCTCAGAGCAGTTGACATGCCTGGTTTATAAAATCTCTACAGTCTCCACCCAGATTACGGTAAATGACCCTTATAAGTGCTTTGAGCGTTGGAAAGACTAGAAAGGTACTACATAAGTGCTGATCATTTACATAATGACACACATAAGACAACTTGAGGATGGCTTAATCACAAGAAGGAGCATGAAGACTCTCAAGATGTAGCGTCATTTCAGAAAAAGTCAGATGAAAGGATGTTAATAAAAAGAAAAAAAAAGAATCTATCACTTACACTGTCTCGCTGACTGTCGTCCCCGGACCGGTCATTCTTTTGCATGGTGCGTGCCACCTCTGAAAATAAGCAGGCCTCAGAGTGAATCAGAAATACAAATGAAAAACAGTGAGCTATAAATCAAAAGTTGTTTTATGTTGGGATAACAGCTAAAGGTTGTTTCAGGTCATTTGTGGCTAAATTGGAAAAATAAAACGAAAACTAATTTCATGAATCTTTAAAGACTGTATGAGGTGTTTGGGAAATTTGTTAATGATTTTCAGGTAAGATTAAGGCAGATACGTTAGATATGTTTATACCACCTCCTTGAGCTTTTGGCGTTAGAGAATATGAAAGCATTGATCTCCTAGACAACCTTGAGTGTACATGTGTATGTGCGGTGAGGGGAGGACATAATGGATGCATGTGTTGGTAGGAAAGGAGAGGTACTGGGATTCACCAACCTATTAGGATGCATGAGAGTGAAAAAGGTAAAGGTCAGAGAATTACCAGCCAGAGTTACACAACCCCGTTCACTTTACCTGGCCAAATAACCCAGATAACACCTGTCTGTTTCTCTCCTATCCCTTTGTCTCTCTGTGACACACACACGCACGCACACACAAGTACACAATACAATGCACATTTAGTCAAGACCAATTGTGCTGAACTGGGTGTCCGTTCACAGAGACTGAAGTGTTGTGACATGGGTGGAAAATCCCTTGGAAGATCAGAGGAGGCCAAAAATGTGATTGTTCTGTGGTTTCGATTGGAGAAATACAATCTATTTGTGTTTTTAGCATTCCTGTCACTGCAAAGTTCCTCTTGTCGTGATGACTAACCCACAAGAACCATCAAATAAGCAAACAGCATAGGAAAGTCATTTTGCTTCACTTATTTTCCCTCCAGCTGTCTGTTTACATTCCTATCAAGTTTTGTCTGAACGCACCAATGCAGTCCCTGAATTGTATATTGTCCCTACAGCAGTGACTTCCTTTATGGTTGTCAGGTTTCACATTAACCATCATTTTCATCAGCTTATCTTTTAGGTTGCAATCCATATGTCTGCATGTCACTTGTAAGTATACTATAAACAACCCTACTTTATGTCTACCAGGACTCAGTAGCACTGTATGTGTTTTGAATGAGATCAGCCGATAGGGTCACACATTATCCCCCACTCTGGTTGTCTAGCTGCGGCCCATCTCCAGTAAATAGATGTGAAGTGGCAGAATGGCCAGGTAATTACCACAGACTGAAACAACAGACAGAGCTGGCTGGGCAGTCTCCATTGATTGGGCTCTGAGGGAGGAAGAAGGTAGAGGGGGATGGAAAAGATACAAGGGGGCAGGAGAGGACACAAAAGCAAAGGAAAGGACAAAAGAAGAGAGGAGAGGACAGGAGAGGAGAGAAATAGAGATGAGAGGGATAAGGGGTGAAATCACAGGGCCGCTTATGTAATCAACTCATGGATCAAAATGTATTTAAGCTAATGTATTATAAATATGATTCAGTACTGGACTCTGCACAGTGGCATTTTTTTTATTTATTGAAGAAGCCTGCATCGGGGCGCCGGTAGCCTAGCGGTAAGTGCCCGCGCCCCATGGAAAAAAAAGAGGCCTGCATCAAAAAGACTGACTCAAGAAACAGACTACATTACAGTACGATGTGATACGAAAGATAGGTGGATCACAATAATAACTGATTAATTGAAAGACAATTATATAATGATGCATTACCATATCTGATTCACTGAAAAATATAAAATGCCCTAAAAAAAAAAGGTAAAGTGCATGGCTAATACATTTATTTACTGCAATTTTGTTTTGGTGGTATCTAAAGTCCTTATAATAAAGATAAAGTACTGTTAGGTGGGGGTTATTTCTGTATGAGATGGACAATTATGAAATCGAGAAACAGACTGTGGATCATCTTAGATTTATTCAGCCATGGTCAGACAACACAGAAACACAACACACATGGCTGACAAAGTGCAGACCATCGCTGACCCATGCTGACCAAGATCTCACAATCATTGACAAACATTGGCAAAGTGGCAAAATGGCCAAGTGGCAAAGTCTTCATCACACAGTGTTGCTTATATTCTGCTAGAAGGTACAGCCCACAAATTCCTTTCCATTTGGGTACATCACTATAAAACAATAAAGATGACATGACACTGATTTGTATACGTAACAGATGTAGACTCTCTGTCTAGCAAACAGTTGCTGACAACATATAGTTGGCTCCTATCCATTTATAGATCTGCTACTACTTAGGTGCTTCACCCATATAAGGTTAACGCTTCACAGACCCAAAAGTAGAATTACTGTGAGATGGTTGACACAATTTAAAGATATGTCCACAAAATTATCAAGATGAATGAATCCCTGAAAATACGTACTAACAAATACCTATCTATCTATCTTTACTCTTATCATGCTTCATCTCGACTTCTTTTTTTTTTTTAACCCGCTAACGTCTTCTTTTATCCCGTTATATTAAATTCTGTGCACGCACACTTACACTTATTCATGCCATAAGTGCCACCGTGAGGAGTCTGGAAGTAGTGTTGTGGTGAGTCAAATTGGAAGGAAAATCTGGGCATAGTGATTTTTATTTCAATGAAAATGTCATTATTTGGCAGTATTCAAGAATTGCATCCCATCAGTGAGGACGAACGAATATTGCTGTAGACTGTCGTCGACAAGAGTGGAGGAGAGGAGAGGAAAGGAGATGACACAAGAGTGGAGGAGAGGGATTGGTCATAAGTCGTGTCATGGTGCACACGCTCTCAGGATGTTGCCTCTGGGATAAATAAACTGTCGTTTGTTCATGACAAATATTTTGTAATAAGGAGCACCATGTGCCTAACTCTGAACAGAGGACAGACCATTAGCCTGCATTCAGCGTGCACGTGTATTATTATGTACATGAACTGAAACAATCATAGGCCATCATAGGTATTTTTGGTTGCTCAGGTGTCTTAGCCACTTGAGCCATCTGCTCGATATCAGAGGAGCATCAAACTAAAAGAAAACATATTAACTTTATTTTTTAATTAATGTGTTGGATTTTGTTGTTCTGTTTTGTTGATAAGGGTCTGTAAGAACGTAGCTGTCCAAGGAAGGGCCAAGTGCAGATTTTTATGACATAGCAACAATTTTGATTTATTCCTGTCTAATGTAAGTGAACTACAGAAAGGTTTGATACAGGAGGGGCTAAAGTTGAGAAAAGCTACGAGAAAAAAATGTAAGAGGCTTTATGGCATGAGGAGCACAGAGCACTGAATAACCTCGGGGCAAACCACAGCTTTAACCTAATCTATTTCTGCAAGTGTTAACTGCTATAAACCATCACGCTTAACCACAGTCACAGACTCTGAAGTCAAAACTGCTTTGTCTCAACACAGACCTACCAGACACCTCTTCATGTAGCAATAGAACAACATACTGTAGATAGATTTTCAGTCTTAATTTCTCAGCATCTTATTATCTCCCTGTAGTCATTATGTAGTTTAATAATATAAGTCCTTGTATTTTTGCATGCTTTAAAACTTGGAAAGGCTGTACTAAGCACATCCATCTATTGCACTAGTACCTGTCTAGAAAACACAGTCCATTATTTGAAATTGGTCTTGAGTTGTGACGCCATGAACAGCTATTTCAGTCAATGCTGCCACTCCTCTAGTTGTGTATAACAGCTCTGCACATTCTGACAATGCTAAGAAAACTTGAATTAAAAGACAGAATGGTATAAACTTTCTGAAATGTGGCAGCACAGCTGACATTCTGCATCTGTCAAGACCTCACCGTCTTAGTGCACCCAGTTTTGTCATTAGCTGCCACTTATAAAAATTCACAGTGACATGATAAACTTTGCAAATTATTTCTGACATCTCGAAGCCTGCTAAAGGTCTAGAAGCAGGCGCGGATCCTGTGTCTGGAGCACAGGGACATTTTCATGTGGCCTAAAAGGTCTATTTGGCCTGCTGTGAGCAGTCAAAGTGATGAGCAAAAAGAGTTAATACACCTCTTTGAAATCATGCAACATTTTGTGCAAGTACAACTGTGCCAATTGGTTGATTCATTGTGCTCATTGAGTTGCCTTGGTGTTCCAGCTGCAGTCTGCAAAAACTAACGTCATTATTTCCCTCGCGACCGACACAGCAACCGTCTACCTGCTGCTTTTCAACCATAGACCGTAAATATTAATGGACGAAGCCTGTTACTGCAGGGGGCTCCAGAGGCTCATCGACGGCAGCCGCCATGCTGGAAATCCTGTCTCAGCCTAACTTTCAGACAACCTACAGGCGGAGAGCTGGAGCTGAGGCGGGTTTTAAGCCTCCTATCAAATCTCTACAACGAACATGCCTGTCAATCAGGTTCGCCTGTCAATCAGGTTCGCCTTGCAACGGCTTCATTTTTCAACACTGCAGGTAAACTGACGTTTCACAACATTATCGCCAGGTGAACTGGATGGTCAAGAAAAAGGAAAGTTGGAGCATTAGAGACAGAGAATGAGAAAGAGAAAGGTCCTTTCCGCAGACACAGAGAAATGCTTCAAAAATAAGTGACATTTTCACCAGTAAGGGACCAGGTTATTCTACACATATCCATCATGGCTAGCTGAGTAGCCTGGCTGCTAACGGTGTGACAAAACAGCCCGTAGGCAACAAAGTGAGCACGTCTCTCTGTGGAGGAATTAAATTGTAGTAATGAGTGCAACAGAGCGATCATATAACATTGGAAGCAGTGTGTTTCATCCAGTCAAGAATAGCATAAACTTGTGAAAGTGCATACATACTGTAGCCTATAGCTAATTGAGGAATCAGTACCTTTCTTACTGGGTTCTAGTGCCATCTGTTTGTTCATTAAAACAGGTGTACCAGTTATAATACTGAACTGGTAACTCCTTACTGGTTACTCTGAAATAGTTATTGAGTGACTCTAAACTGGCTGGAGTAAAACAATATTTGCTTTGAGTCTAAACTGTTGTTCAGTGGCATGTTTGTTCAATTTTGCTATAATACAGATTGGTATATGGAGACAGGTGAATAAACGTTATACTGTTGTAGTGA